CATTAGGGACCTTTCAGGGTTTTTTAAGTGGTCAAAACTATATTGTGTAGCCAAAATCTGGTAACAATTCACTCAGGATTGTAAGCACTTTATAATGAGCTATGCCAAAAAAAATATGCTGTCTTTAACGACGGTTGTCTGCATGTTTGTCAACTATTAACATTAAATCTTAAACCGCCTCGATGTCTCGTGGTAGCGTGTTCGCCTCGAGTGCGAGAGGTCGTAGGTTCGAACCCCGGCCGGGTCAAACCAAAGACTTTAGAATTGGTATGTGCTGCTTCTCCGCTAAACACGCGGCTTTAAGGAGTGAGAGCAAAGACTGGTCGGCTCGTAGTCAGAATAATTAATTTGCCGCTGGACGTTACGCAGCCATCCATCCTTTATCATCATCATTAAATATAAATAGGTACTAGTATTACAAATGAAAAACCATCGTTTATAATTAAGTACGTGTTATTTTTCTAATATTGTTTTATCTATTTTTTTGTCAAATTTACTTTATTTCAAGTCCCGGCAGCGGACATGTTTGATAGAAGTTTGAGTTATATACCATTATTCTTTAAAGGATAACTTGTGCACCATTTTCCAAAGTCTGCTTTTGACTTTCGGAGGTTATTATACAATTACTGTCTTTTGATGAGGTAAATGTCTGGTTTTATTGACTTTTGAAAAACCGATATTTAATGAGGCCAACGGCCGAAGTGAATGAATTTTACCACCACTGTTCGTTGGTTGGTCCGAGGTAAACTATTGATGTCATACTGTTTAATATCATTGTTACACAGTTTGGCCTAATGATTTTAGAAAAGAATGAAGGAAGATTACAACGTCAGACGACGGCATAAGAAAAACTCACATAAGTCTATCGTTCCAGGATAGCGATATGAAAGTCAAATAATGTTACAAATCACATGGGCACGTGATCACTTCTCGATCTCGATGATATCCTTCCATTTTTTCATACTTACAGAAATAAGAAAATAAAACTAGAGGCTCGTTAGAGCCTGTGTCGCTCACCTTGGTCTATGTGCATATCAAACAAAGGACACTCTCCAACATTGTGGACGAGAATAGACTTCATGACAAAAATCTCTATTTTGTTGATCTTGTATTACTGATCTTTAATCTGTTTAGTTTCTCTCTATCTTTAGTTTTTGCTAAAAACACAAAAGAGGGTAAAAAAATCCTCATTTAAGGGCAATCACTCCTATGAAAGTGACAGTCTACTAACTTTATCGGCAAAATTTGACTTTTTAACAGATCTTGCCTTGCTGATCATTTTTGTGATTTTAAGTGTTTATTTATTTATTATAATTTAAATCATATAAAGCATAACGGAAAAAAAATGTTTCTCTCTAAATATCATAGTTTTCATGGTAATAGGCAAAATGAAAAAAAAAGGTAAGATTTGTCATTTATGGGCAATAACTCCTATAAGAATTTGTCTAACAGTTTTGACGTATATGGACAATTTGTAGAGCTCATTATTCTGAACATTTTTGCTCCTTTCAGATTTTCTGTATTTATAACGTTTCAAAAAATAATAGACAAAACTTGCATTTTACCCCTATGTTCTATGTTTAGCCATGTCGGCCATGTTGGTTGGTAGGCGGGATCATCGGACACATTTTGTAAACTGAATACCCTAAAGATGTTCGTCGCCAAGTTTGGATGAATTTGTCTCAGTAGTTTCAGAGGAGAAGATTTTTGTAAAGGATTATAAAAATTTACAAAATTGTTAAAAATTGACTATAAAGGGCAATAACTCCTTGAGGGGTCAATTGATCATTTTGGTCATGTTGACTTATTTGTAGATCTTAATTTGCTGCACATTATTGCTGTTTACAATTTATCTCTATATATATTAATATTCAAGATAATAACCAACAACTGCAAAATTTCCTTAAAATTACCAATTCAGGGACAGCAACCCAACTACGGGTTGTCTGATTTGTCTGTAAATTTCAGGGCAGATCTGATGAACAATTTTACCCATGTCATGATTTGCTCTAAATGCTTTGGTTTCAAAGATATAAGCCAAAATCTACATTTTACCCCTATGTTCTATTTTTAGCCATGACGGCTATCTTGGTTGGCGGGTCGGGTCTTCGGACACATTTTTTTAAACTAGATACCCCAATGATGATTGTGGCCAAGTTTGGTTAAATTTGTCTCAGTAGTTTCAGAGGAGAAGATTTTTGTAAAAGTTAACGGAGGACGACCGACGACGGACGACGGACGACGACGACGACGGACGACGGAGACGACGGACGACGGACGACGATGGACGCCAAGTGATGAGAAAAAAGGAGTGTTTCTTATTGTTGTGTGTTTTACTCCTTTCTTGCATGCAGGTACTGATGCTGCATGCATATGTAGAGTTTTTCACCCTCGTGAACTATTAGAGTAAATACGATAGTTCGAAAAATAAATATTTAGATTCAGAATTTCACCACATATGTATTTGATGTAAGGTTCGTTGATTTAGTTGCTTCTAACAAACTTTTGAAGAACACGTAGTTATATATGCATAAGAATAGTTACCTTGACAAGTTATATACCAACAATCAATGTAGTGAATACCCTATGGCCCTAAAGTCCACGAACAAAGTCCTATACAGTGACGTAGAAAAAGTTTAAAATGTTAAATAAGTTTATTGTAGGATAAGAGATGGAAATTTTGTATTTAAGTAATTAAAACTTTACTGAAACAACGATAACAAAAGAAGAATTTTTGTAAGAAGAAAGATAACCCGAAAGTTTTTTTAAGTCATAAGAACTTTCTCCAGAAGTATCTATTGAACGATAGCGACATAAAATGAATGTAAATACTCAGTCAGATAATTCGTGTAAACACCCACGACCTCATGTGAGTTTTTCCAATAAAAAGTGCATAATTAAAACTCTAATTGTGGTTTGAATAATAACAATTTGGTTCAGTATTTTCAAAATCAAAGTGCACGTAGCTATGTTTCTACCCTTGAACTATAATGCCGCGTAGAGTTTTTCTTTTAGGGACTTATGGAATTTTTTTATTCAGATTCAATTGTGCCGTATGTCCTACGTTCAAGATGCTGCAGGTTCAATATATTTACTCATGCAATCGACGATTTAGTAAATGTCGTATCAACATGTGTTATCTTAACTTTTAAACTTTTTATCCTACCTTCATGATTAAGTATCATCTATTTGTACCCTTGAATCTATAACAATACGTTCATGGATAATGAGTCGATAATGTTAAAGTTGGCATAATTATGTAGGTATAATTATTTAAATGCATCGAATATTAACATGCAATCATTACACATGGATAATGACGTGAAAAAAAACTTTCAGAGATTCAGGAATATAGAATATTTACAACATGCATTCCAGAACAAACTATTGTATGTAAGTTTTAATACACTATTATATAATTAAAAATCAACCAAATAGTTACCAAAGAAATTTTTAACTAAACATTCAGCATTAATTTAGAGTTATCCGTCTTTCAACAGTACTAGTATATAACTCACACCAGTATTTTAGAAATGTTGAATAAATAAAATATTTAACAATTTTACTACATTGTATACGGTTCTGCTAAAAAGACAAAAGTTATGACAATGAACTCCAACAACCTAACACCTATTCTTTCAATGATACACCAATTGAGAACTCTGAGGACTTCATTTACCTTGGCAGTGTAATGAGTTAGGACAATGGAGCTGGAAAGGACATCAAAACCAGACTTGCAAAAGCACGGGACAATTTTGCACATCAGCCCATTTGGAAGTCTGTTCCGCCGTATGGTGTTTACATATCTCAGTTGATACGTTATGCTCTTGCATGTTCACACTATACTGACTTCATATACAGGAGTGTGCTCCTTACGCAGAAACTGCTCCAACAGAGTTATGAGGAGGAAAGATTAAAAATGACACTCCGTAAATTTTATGGACACTATCATGAATTGGTTGATCTATACGATGTGTCTGTGTCTAAACTAACTAATGACATTTTTACCACGTCTTAAATTGTGGTTTAACATCTACGTCATCTGTCTGCTAAGTACCAAACGTGACCTATTCCCGAATATGACTGTTATACCGAGTGTAAATTTGCATTGCTATACGACGTGTCTCGGTATTTTGTACATCCAACATTCATGTATTCATTTTTGATGCTTCTGTTATGGTTTCGGTTGGATAATGTGTTATGTCTTATCGTTTGTAGTCCAAATAATCATAAAATTGCCTTTCAATACCATCATTGTCATGAAAATTGTTTGGATTGGTATTGTGAAAATAATTGTATAAAGTTCGAGATTGCATGTTCGTTACGTAAGTGCGTCACTGTTTGTGATTTCCTGTGGTGTCTGTCGTTGGTGGAAGATGTTCGTTGTTGTTCTGCGGTTTTGCATGTTGTGTCGACTATTATATTATGTTTGTGCGTTTCTCTGTGATGAGTGTTCTTGCATGTGTTTGTGCTGTATTTCTGTCACGTAGTGTTGTTGTCATTTTAGCGATATTTTTAACATGGTCATATAAGAGGGAGGTTTGGCTAGCCATAAAACTTGGTTCAACCCACCATTTTTTTAAATGTCCTGTACCAAGTCAGGAATATGGCAGATGTTATCAAATAGTTCGTTTTTATGTATGTTGGCGTTTGTTTCTGTTGCACTTCAGTGTTCCTGTTGTTCCTTTGTTTTCCTCTTAAAGTTGATGAGTTTCCCTCGGTTCTAGTTTGTAACCCGGATTTGTTTTCTCTCAATCGCTTTATGACTTTTGAACACCGGTATACTACTATTGCCTTTATTGAGTAATCGTGTGAATGAAGATGACAGCATTACGTGAAATGCGTCCTATGTTGTCCCCCCTGGTTTCTCTGCTATTTGATTTCATGCGATTCCGATTATGTTTTCTCTTGTATTTATCTGTTTTGTACCTAGACTTATGTTTCATTTGATGTGAGTATTCTGCCTTCACACAAAAAAACTCAACATTTACTGTTCGGTATTTTAGATTATTCCTGTTATGATTTTATTGGATTTTGTGTTAAACTCAATCAAATAGATTTGCAGGTTCTTTTGTGATATAACTTCCACTAGTGCAAAACAAATTTATATGGAGCGTGGCAGAACAGTAACAACACATGTAGACTTTCTATCTTATGATGAAGATATCCCAATTATTCCATTTTGGATGAGTGTATTTACAATATATGTTTCTGTGTAATTGCTCAGGAGTTGACATAACATTTCTCATAAGCCATACTTTACTGGCATTATTATTGTAATTATTTTACTAAATATCAAAACACATAGGTTACCACCTAATGAAACGAACATTTACGTTCGAATACAAATCTCATCATTAAATGTAATATTTCTCGAAACACCACCTCGGAAAACTTCAATTGCGGCTGTAAACGCCGTTATGTACCACCAAGTGCAGAAATGACACTATTGTCTATTTAAATATAGTATGCTAAACGTATTTATTAGCTACAAATGTGCTCTGGAAACTGATCAAAAATTGTGCAACCAAAATGTCCATCCTCATTGCACACACATGTATTTTTCGTATCAACATGTTTGAATTTTTCGGTGGCTTTGAAATATTGTCCTAGATGAAGACAGTAGCCTACAAAACAAAAGTTTTAAAAATCAACAAGAAGTGATTAACATTTTTTGGTAAAAAAATATCTATAAAAATGGTGTTATGATACAACTAGCTTAAAATCTCTGGACTATGGTTACTGCTTATTAAGCTAAGATTAACATATAGATGATGCTATGATCCGTTCATCCTTTTTTGACTCCTCAAAATTCAAGAGTCTATCCTAAATTGAGGTAAAGTGTTGGGCTTTCCAAATATCTTTTCGATTCCTAACATCACTGAAGAGACATTATTTGTCGAAATCCGGATATGGTGTACAAAAACCTTTGCACCTTTTATTTGCAGTATATCATCTTCTCCGCAAGTTTATTGTTTTCTGTTTGGTATTAAGTTTAAAATTAAGCTCCATTTATTACATCGGTGATCCGTTTATTCGGCAATCGCCAATGGCAGTCAGCAGGGTTTAAGAACATTTGTTGTTCGACCTGTTAGTCAAATGCGTTTTGTTAAAATATACTTTTTCACTTTTTTGGTCTTTTGGAAAATGTTGTTTGTGCTGTATTTAGACCCCTCTAACAAGAAATTTGTTTTGCATGCACACGTATAAAAATTGCGGTTTTTATCCAACGCAATCATAGGTTTGAACGTTGTTTTCAATTTAGACTTGTTTATATTTTTTCGTTTGGGCTTGTATTATATTTGCCTTAGGGTTTATATGATCCGTTCATCCTATTTTGACTCCTCAAAATTCAAGAGTCTATCCTAAATTGAGGTAAATAGTTGGGCTTTCCAAATACCTTTTCGATTCCTAACATCACTGAAGAGACATTATTTGTCGAAATCCGGATATGGTGTACAAAAACCTTTGCACCTTTTATTTGCGGTATATCATCTTCTCCGCAAGTTTATTGTTTTCTGTTTAGTATTAAGTTTAAAATTAAGCTCCATTTATTACATCGGTGATCCGTTTATTTGGCAATCGCCAATGGCAGTCAGCAGGGTTTAATAACATTTGTTGTTCGACCTGTTAGTTAAATGCGTTTTGTTAAAATATACTTTTTCACTTTTTTGGTCTTTTGGAAAATGTTGTTTGTGCTGTATTTAGACCCCTCTAACAAGAAATTTGTTTTGCATGCACACGTATAAAAATTGCGGTTTTTATTCAACGCAATCATAGGTTTGAACATTGTTTTCAATTTAGACTTGTATATATATATATATATCTAACATCACTGAAGAGACATTAATTGTTGAAATCCGGATATGGTGTACAAAAAAACTTTGCACCTTTTGTTTGCGGTATATCATCTTTTCCGCAAGTTTATTGTTTTCTGTTTAGTATTAAATTTTTAATTAAGATCCATTTATTACATCGGTGATCCGTTTATTTGGCAATCGCCAATGACAGTCAGCAGGGTTTAAGAACATTTCTTGTTCGACCTGTTAGTCAAATGCGTTTTGTTAAAATATACTTTTTCACTTTTTTGGTCTTTTGGAAAATGTTGTTTGTGCTGTATTTAGACCCGTCTAACAAGAAATTTTTTTTGCATGCACACGTATAAAAATTGCGGTTTTTATCCAACGCAATCATAGGTTTGAACGTTGTTTTCAATTTAGACTAGTATATATATATATATATATAAACAAGTCATATATATATATATACAATATGACCAACATCAGCGTTCAAAAACATGAACTGAACATGGATCTCCGACAGGAAAACAGTCTTGCTAAAAACACGTAAAACCCTGCCATGCTACTAAAACAAGTTGAGTCCAGCTTTAAGTCACAAAGTGAACAAGTAGGAGTTTTGCCTATGAAGCAACGAGCAGCAAATTTTCATATTTTGTACGTTTAAAGATGAAGGTCAGATTTATCCATTTTAAGTACGTACTATTAGTGCACAATTCATGTTTTGGATATATATTTAATCTCTTGCCTACTGTTGAGCTGTTCCAAAAGTTCATATTATTTTGCTATAAAATAGTTACTTTTCTTTTTTTCATTTAGTTTGCTTGATATACTTAAATTGGGGGAAAACAGCAATAAGTGTCGACTTAAGGGACTTAATTAGTAATCTTGATATTGCTGCAAGTCGAAGAGGTACAAGAGCACCATCATTACTGATGACTTATCGGTAATTGTTGTAAGCAGTAAAATAACTACTTCTTAGACAGACTGTTATTTCAAATATACAACTGAAGATTTTTGTTCGTGTATATCCATCTAAGTTCCTTTCTTTAAGAAAATGACGGTTAAGTTGAGTTAAAACATCCAAACTCAGAGATAAGTAACGTGTGCTATTAAACAATTGTCAAAAGCCCTTTTTTGAACTTGATTTACAGGGTGGCATTTATGTGAACCTAACGATAATGACCAACGCCATTGAAGACAAGTACCTTTGATACATAACACAGTACATACCTTCACAACCTTTACAGTCAGGTAGATTTGTGCATGGGTTCTCATTACATTTTCTGTAACGACAAACTTGATAACTGCCATCATTAAAGCAATATTTGTCAAACGTGCCTTCTTTACCTGGTGGTTTGATAAAAGGTGTCTGGTTGAAGAATTTATAGCAATACGTGTACAGTTGATGAACATTTTCTATAAAATAAACCATAATTTTCAGCTTCATTTTATAGTTAAGGCATATGCCACAAAAACGCTCCCTTTCTGTATCCTCGAAAAATTTGCTCTCCCCTACAGATAAAACATATACAAATAAAAAATTAACCGATGATCTGTGATCGCAATTTCCATGCCACAATTCGTGTATTTTATGACATACTTATATGTATAAATGATGTTGAAAAAAAACTCAATTTGCCTACTACAGCCTGCGTCAAAAAGGTTTAACAGTAGTTTAATTGCAACATATACAGAAAGAGTAAGGCTAACTATAGCAATACAACTTTTGATAATGAATGGAAACATCACTTGAATGGTAAAAACATTTAGTAAAATCTAAAAAGATGCAGTGCATGAATAACAATTCAGAAACCCAACTAACAGACAGCCCCGAATGGGTGTAAACTGTTATATATATTATACCAAAAATATTAACCTTGCAATTAGCTAAATTGACCCTATAAATAATGTTCGCGTACACTGTGACTGTATCAACCATGAATTGAATTCCTTGCAAAATTATCAAGATCGATTAAATTCATATCTATATCTATAGAAAAAACATATTGATCCATAAAAATATTAATATAGATACATGTAAAAGTAAATGTAGAATATGCGTCAAAGAAACGACAATCCAACAACACAAAAACTTTGAAAATATGAATAGGTCAATAAGCAATAAACAAATGTGTTCACGAAATGTCAAGCTCCAAATGGTCTGGATTATGTCTGAGTAAACTCAACATAAACAAAGATCTGAAAACCACATCAAATTCCCCAATAAATCAAAAACATTACGATGTAGCTAAAGAGAAACTTTACTTTGACAGCCACATGAACTGGTATTTGTGGTCAGTTGGGGTTTACTGATTTCTTAAAACACCAACCTACCAGCTTTTAATCTCGATCAGAAAAAGAGGGAGTTTTACAAAGAAATACGTGCAAGATTAATCAGCCAACTTCCATTATACCGGTACATCAGGCATAAATCAAAAACAACAATAAATGCTACCATATAAAATAAAAGTCGCAGTTAATAGAGCGTCTTACATCTGATGGTATAAAAATGCCGTCATACACTAGAATCGGCGGACGTACTTCAGAGAAGATTCCATTCAACAATGCCATACACAGTGTAGATGACACGACATGATGCAATGATGAGGGCAGATTTTACAGAATTTCAATTCTAAAAATAAAAGAAACATTTTTGTCTTGTTTAGAGATTGTTTAGTAATATATTCAATATCAAAACTACTAGACGCTATGAATACCAACAATTTCAACAAATACATAATCATTATCTTTGTTTATCAATAGTTAAGGAAAAATGTTCATAAACGTATTTGCTTTTTCAACTAATATTACCGTAACAAGGTGAGTGTGAAATCATATTTCCACAATAAATCCGTATACTGTAATGGAATTTAGAAAAATTTTCAGATTTAGGATTTTTATGATTGGAACACAAGATAATGATTAAAAATTTACTGTTAAATGAACTAAGCTTTTTTTATCAATTTTTTTCTTGCATTACCTACCCGTTATTGTGTTTTCAATAACATATCTAATATCTTCCTCATTAAACCGTTCTTGATAATCTTCAGGTTTTCTCTGTAACCCCAGGTCTTCCCAATAATCGGGTCCATACCAAACAAGTAACTCTGTTCCTGCCGTTATACATTCGTACGTAACGTAAAAAATTTCGTTGTTTAATTGTAAGACATACAAATTTTCCTCGTGTACCGTTCTTGGACAATTAATATATCGTAACCAATTTGAATTGTTTTTGAAGTAACCGTCAACATAATACTTAACAGAATCATCGTCACCGTAAACATTCCATGCATAGGACCAGTTATCAACGGTTTCTGTAATTTCTCCACCATATGGACCAAATCTGGTACCCTTAGGAAACGATCTCTCAGCAAATACGCCATAACCGGCTTCAGGGATTCCAGATGGTCGAATCGACAAGCCAGCAGGTAGCGTAGCCAACGGCCGATTTTCGTTGGTGAGGTTTGTCTGTCAAAACAAACAAAAAATTCTTGTGTCAAACATAGCAGCAATTTTACATTGATCTAGCAATACATATAGGTATAAATTTATATCGAATTAATCTCAAAACCCTCTCTGATCCATACTTGATCTCTTGATTTATGAAATTATTTCCGTCCTGTACCATTGATGACGAGATTCGTGACTTTGAGTTGCCTTTGTATATGTATGCACATGATATATTCTTTTAAAAATGATGCGGGAAATACCAAATGAAAATCAAAATTCATATGTCGAGAAACAACAGACAAAAAAAATTACGAAAACGAAACAAAAATGAAAACAACTCCATTCATAATTAACACTTCAAAATGAGCTAACATATATTAAATATTACATTGTACATATAAGGTGTTATAAATTGTATTCAGTAAGTCCTGTTTTATTTATTTTCCAATATCTTTATGTTTTCAATATCTGGAAACACATATTTTGAAGCTGACAATTCACATATATTCAACAAAATTTAAATACTTGAACTTTTAATAGGACCATTTTTATTGATTTGAAAAACGTAAAACTCCTTTTTGTTTTTAAACCTGATATCTATGATGAGTTTTTCTATAAACCAACCTATTAACATATGTTTTTTCATGAACCTTATATGTTTTGCTAGTCCTAGAATTAGTCGTAAGACTTTCAGGTGAAGTTTACGTGTTCTTTGCTATGGATTTTGCTACATTTGAAAGATATATATCTAATATGTTTATATAATTTTTTTCTGAAAAAAAACCTCACCTCCGCATTGTTCACAATAAACATGTCTTTACTGAAGGTGAGTCCTCTCCCATCACATTCTTCACACACTACAATAAGATTATATTTTGAAATATGAGCTGACATATGGGGTCTACATCCTGAACATATTTTTGTCATCACCAGGACATCTTTATAAAATGAACGTACTTAATGAGTCAACAAAAGAAAAACATCTCACAGTTGATTGTACAGTTCAAACATCTTTTAAGGCCACTATCTATTTGATCAAGTTATTTCCACAAATTCCAAGGAATTCCAAAGTCAATTAGCTTAATTTGCAGTCAAATATGGTTAACCGTTTCAAACGACCTCTTGTTGTCATGAAAAGTCTCTTTTTTAGAACTATACTAGTATTTCTCTCTTTGAGTGATGCAGTTTCTTATAGATTAAAGAGGGGTAAATACTACTAACATGACAAAAGGTACTTCTAATATGCCTTTTGTTGAGTATTCGAGAAAAAATATAGTCATTCATTGAATTGTTTAGTTTATTTTCTCCAGTTATTTTCGAACACTTTTGATATACAAGGTATAAAGATCTACCACGGTAAAATTCGATATCATACTCTGAATCTTTAAGTGCGCCTTAACAACGGAATTACTACACCAATTTTTCAAGTAGCAGGTGTAACACGCTGATCAAAAATTAATTCAAAAAGTTTGCACAAATATTACAACAGTAATTTCCCGCCGTATTTAAGATGTTCGCAGGATATTCCATTGAGCAGTAACGTTTACCCGTTTGGCAGGTTCATAACAAATTTCGTTCCGTTGATTTATAACGTTTGATTTTGTCAGTTTTTATGAACTCCCCCTTTATGAATTTACCTTCAAGTTCGGTATTTTTGTTATTTTTTTTTTCTACTAGTATATTTTTTTCTTCAAAATGAACTTATCCAATTAATCATTATCACATTGATTGCGAATAAATTTTTAATTTTTAATGACGATTTTAGCTTCATTATACTGGGCAATTTGGGCGATTGCTTCAAAAAAGATTTGCAAAATCTGAACAAATGCTTGGGACTATTTATAAGTTTGTTGTTCAATCAACATCAATAATGTTCCTTGGTCGTCGACTTACTGATTAATTATAGACCATGCTAAGCTTTGATCTACGTCGCTAGATTTTCCATTGTCCTTAGACATGTCGACTACATACTCTTGATATGCGCGAATTAAAACAATTCTTGGAGTTTTTATATGTCTAATACGACGCATACTCTGTTCCAAGCGGTTGATGGTCACTGATCCATGCATTGCGACGTAGAATCATGAAATCATGCATTTCAATTACTATATATGATCTATAATTGTTGAATAAGGACCATTTTCATAGCTCTTAAAAAGTGTGTATAGATTTGTTTACAAAAGTCTGTGTGTTTAATGAAATCAAGATTAACTCGTCTTAAACTCTTTGCAAAAGTTTGCTGCAATCGCCTTGAACAACACTGACACGTGGTCTTCGAACTGTCGCATTTAGATCACCACAAAACATGGCATTGTCTGTTCGTGCGGCAAAGAAACATATTCTTAAAACAATTCATCGGAGAGAGCTGTAGTGTGTTAGTATCCACAGAGGAAGATACTTCCGAAGCCTTTACAGTTCCAATGTGTAGCGCACACCGTTTTCTTCTCTTGAAGAAACTATCGCAGGCTATTATGCGCGATTGAGGCTCTCCTGATTCCGCTGATAAAATAATAATCGCCTCGATTTCTTATTCTACCATAAATATTTGTATTTCCCCAATTAACACCATAATGGCGTCATTTTTAAACGTAAAAAATTATTTCTCGAAGTACGAGGTCTTCTGGTGATTTTTCTGTTCCTTTATTTTTATTTTTGATAAGTCTTCTTTTAACATGTTCTGACTGAAGCATATCATTTGAGTTTAAAGTCTTGTAACTCACATTTGAAATCGAACACGTTTGCAATGTGTATCAAAAAGAGAGGCGAAATTTACCAAAGGGACATTCAAACTCATAAGTCGAAAATAAACTGACAACGTCATGGCTAAAATAGAAAAAGACAGACAGACAACAGTACACAAAACACAACATAGAAAACTAAAGACTGAGCAACACGAAACCCACCAAAAAACAATCTCTGAATATCATTGCTTATTGTATGCGTATGTACCGATGAACTCAGCTGGCCTTGAAAAGTCGGTTTGGTTGATATCTAAACTGAATTTTCAGTTGATTGATTTTGCAGATATTCCCACTATTGGTGCTTAAAACTTAAGAAGGTTCACATTGAATTTTTTTTTTCATGAAGATAAGCTTTTATGGTGTCTGCAAAAGTTTATCGTCATGAGATTTACGGTTGTTTTCGACATTGACTTTTTTCCTCAGCACGGACACAGATTTACTAGATCAGGCTACGAAAGTTTCGAGATGTTCATATGCCTGAGCAATGTCCCTTAACTTTTTATTGACAAGATCGACTTTGGCTTTGAGTGTGCCTACACCAGTCAGTCTTTGATATGTAATGATAATAACACACAACGAATCGTTTTGACATCTTGTCTTAAATCTTTGATTAAGGCTTTCAAAGGAGTTATGAACTTGACATGTTGTTGTTGACATTGCTCTAAATCAGCCACTGAATTTGCTATGTCATTGTCTATGCGCGATTTTTTTGTAACATCGGCATTTGAGTTCGATTTCTCATCTTAGCGATTTTCGACACCGTTTAGATGCTCTTTTAACAGGAATTTATTTCAAAGAATTTTTCAATCTCTAATTATGTTTTTTAATACTTTGTAATCTATGTGTATGATTTGTAGTATATTATACAATTTTGTATGGTTTTCACATATTGTTGTTACAGCTTTGTAAAAATATGTACGATCGTGTACGTATTCCGCCTGTAAGGTGATCATCGTCAAATAACGGTAAAAATGTCAATATGAAGTTCACCACGCTTGGAAAATCATTTGTATTTGAAGTTTTCGTTAATATGGTTAACTTGTGTACCTAAAACTGCGAGCTATACGGACAGCGAATCTCAATCTTTCGTACGTCGTTCAAGTCTGCGTTTAAAGTTGCTTCTTACATATGAAATTACAATTTTTACAGCCATGAAAAATTCAGTTCTCTGTATTTTCATTGGTCATTTCCAGTAGTTTCAAAATAAAAGTATCTTTCGGTTGAAACAATCTAGACATTGTAATATATATGTTACAGTGTTGTAATCGTTTGGTCCAGATCACTGCGTGACAGAACACAGGAAATAGTTAGACAATGGTTGAGACTGGTTAGGGTAAAAGGCAGGGCTGTCAAAATTGTCACAATTTAATGACGAAACTAGTTGTAAAGCTGCCAATGTTTGCAACTCAATTTTAATTATAATGTTCTGTTTCTAATTTTGTATTTTCACCTTTAGCTTACATTGAATTGTAAATAAATTGAGTATCACTACTCACTTATTCCGATAAACAAAGTCTTGTTTGGTAAAGACAATGTTTTAAGGTCAACATGTGTATTTGTTTGGGATAATGTATGTTTTGTTATGTATATTTATAGTTAACAATGTGTTGACACACAAACTGATATCATATTAAAGTTAACCATGTTGTTTTTCATTCATATATTAGTTAGTAAACATGTCAACATGCGAGTACTCTCGGATCTGTACTTGGTTTCTTTTTGCTGTGGTGATGTATAAGTACACTGCCACGTCCACTCTGTGTTTTTGTTAGAAGTATTTCTGCTTTGTATCGATCTGATGACTTAAGCCCTTTTCAACTGATTTTTATAATTTATTCTTATGTTGTACTGTTACACCACTGTCCCATGATGGGGGAGGATTGGCGCGCCTTCAAACTAGTTTAACCCCGCCACATTCTGTATATGCTTGTCCCAAGTCAGGAGCCTGTAATTCAGTGGTTGTCGTTTGTTGCTGTTTTTCATATTTGTTTTTCGTTCATTATTTTGTACATAAATCAGGCCGTTAGTTTTCTCGTTTGAATTGTTTTACATTTGTCATTTCGGGGCCTTTTATGGCTGACTATGCGGTATGGGTTTTACTCACTGTTGATAGTCGAACGGTTGTAATTTGGTCTCTTGTTGAGAGTTGTCTCATTGGCAATCATACCACATCTTCTTATTTTCATATGATTTGAAAAGGGAGATAATATAAGAAAAACGACGACACACTTTACCGTTCGATCTGTGTGTACCACTACACATGTTATTCATTCAGTA